AGCTTTTAAGTAACAAGAAAACAGTTATAGAAGAAAGTTTAAATTTAAAAAAAAATTGTTTTGATTTATTCAAGAGTGGGAACATCCTCCATGAAAATGTGTACCTTGTCTGTGGATGGCTGGGTGGCCTTATCACACCTTAGGAATTCAAATGCTTTTTACAATGAAAAGAAAGAGAGTTTCATCTCATTTCTCTCCCAGGGTAGATGTCTGTCAATAGAAGGTGGACATCAATAAAAGGAGGGGCTTGCACAAGCAATCCAGAAAGTCAGCAATCTATGAATAATCCAGAACCGAGTATTTATCTCCTCTGCCACACACCCTCCCTCCCAGCCAGTGAGCAAGATAATTACTCTCAAGTCAAGCTAAGTGCCCCCCAGTCACAGTGGCCCAATGCTGACATACAAAGCATACAAATAATTCTCACTCTGGCATAAAAGTGACAACTTTCTTGGAAGAAAAGCAGATACTGTAAATTTCTCAAAGTCTTCCTGAAACATTTTTTAAAGTAATTTTTACTTCTTTAGAAAAAATGCCATGGGAAACAATCTGTAATAAAATGCCTATTCTATAAAATAATTCACCTATACTAATAAAAGGGTAATATGCTAATTAGACTGGGAGACCTTCCAGAGGTTCTTCTGGACAAAGCCATGGTGGCGGGGCCAAGGTAGAGGCGGTTAGAGGCCAAGAGGGGAGGGCAGTTGTGGGTGATCAGGCTGGTGAGGGGCAGGGCCATTGGGGGTAAGCAGACCAGCAGGGGGGCCAGTTGGGGACAAGCAGGCCATCAGTGGGGGTCAGTTGAAGGTGATCAGGACTGTGGGGGGGAGGGCAGTTTGGAGTGAGCAGGCAAGCAGTGGGGCAGTTGGGGGTAAGAAGGCCAGTGGGGAGGGGAGGTGGGGGCAAGCAGGCCAGCAGGGGGGGCAGTTGGGGGCCAGCAGGCAGAGTGGTTAGGGGTGATCAGGCAGGCAGGCAGGTGAGCAGTTAGGAGCCAGCGGTCCCAGATTGCGAGAGGAATCCCCACTGGGATCGGGCCTAAACTAGCAGTCAGACATCCCCCGAGGGGTCCCCAATTGGAGAGGGTGCAGGCCGGGCTGAGGGACGCCCTCCTTCCCCCCGCCCCCTTCCTGTGCACGAATTTTGTGCACCGGGCCACTAGTGTTTAATAACAGGATTTATTCTTCTCATACCAACACATTATTTTCTGGCAAGAAAATGAATTTCTTATATTTTTCTAATGTTTTACTCTTATTATGTACTTACTATAAACTCTAAGAATAAGTCTGTGTTTTATTTATTATCTAGTTCAGTGCCTTGTACTTAGTGGGCACAATTATTTCTTGAATACATTGAAATTATATTTTCACATAAAGCTTTGCCCCACCCCCTCTCCATGTTGTCTCAGCTAGAACCACCATGGCTTCTTTTAGGTCCATCCATATAGATGAGGTAGGAGTAAAGTCAGTATCATCCAGGAAATGTGTGGGTGAGTAAGGGCAGTCTAGCCCAACCCCAATGGAGGGCCTCTTTCAAGCCTGGGCAGCTGTGCCACACCCATTGTCAGCACAGCAGTGCCCTATATCTATAGCATCTCCTTTTTTTTCACTAATAATATTGACTAAAATAGTTAAATAGGGGTTTCTTAAGAATGAAAAATTTCAGCTTATTATTTATGTAGTGATCATTCTCTGTCCTTTTCTCTCCCTCCTCCTCACGAATAATAGTTTTTGGTTTTGTGTTGTTTTGATTTTTGAGGTTTCCCCCAGTGAAGCTAACCTCTTCGTTAATATTACCCAATCATGATAGACTAAAACTTTGTTAAAAGAGCATTTGGAGCGAGTGATCTGTAGAGAGGTCGTGCAGTGTCTCCAGTCAGCATGTCAGGAAAATAGACGAATAGGCTTCCCGTTATTAATTAAAGGGCCGTTTTCAAACCAATCATTGGTTCCAAAACAGAACTACATCTTATGTAGACACTAGAGGCA